TTGACAACTCAAAATCCATAGCTGCAGCAAAGCGCTGACAAGCAGACAACCAAGGAAAATTATCCCATACTACCATTTCTATTTCTTTTTTTTTTAAAAAAAAAATAGAGGTTATTGAAAACATACAAATTCTCATTAATAACCGAATAATAGAGTTGAAAAACTTTCATGCTACTATGGAACCTCAAAGAACATAATACAAAAAGGAACAAGATGACGGGAATCTCGTGCAAGAATGCCCTATGAAATTACAGAAATCAGAAAAATCAGCTTCTGTTATGATCCTTGACTTGCCTGATGATACTAGAAGCCCAGCTAAAATGGGATTGGCCAGCACTTTTTCAAAAATCTCAAAACTCTTGAAACATTTTCCCAAAGAAACTCCAACCTCGACACTTTGCCCTCGCCTAAAATTTTAACATTACCAAATCTAAATCAGATTAGCCCTCTTTAGAAACCTGATTGCCCTACAGTAGTAGGGCCATATAGATTCCACATAATCTAGGTACTTCTCCATCAACCACTCTTGCAATTCCATCATCTTTTTTCTTGAAAACTCTTTGCGGTCCAAGTTCTTAAAGCTTTGCAAAGGTTGCAACACACAAGCTTGTATGTCTTCTTTGAGCTTCCCTTGTCTGATATAGCCGGAGGCCACCAGATAGTAGGTAGGTACATTTTTGATAACTTTAATTGTCTGCCTAAAGCTGAAAACATAGAGTGCCCACAAGCCCTGGAGTAACTTGATGTAGAAAGCAACAATAAGGGGACCCAAAATCCACAATGGAGTCAATTCCCTTGACACTCCAGCCCCATACATCACATTGACGGCCAGGAACAAAGGAATGCTGAAAACAAAGCAATGCAGTTAGATGCTACCAGAAAATTCTCAAGAAAATAACAAATATTAAAAACTAAACCCAGACCTGCTTACATAATGCATTCGTTTAGAAGTCAAGCATTGGAAGAATTCTTGTATTGTTAATAGATAATCATATATCAATGTAGCAAAAGGAGCTCAGTTGATAAAGATAATTGAATACTGTTTCTGCCAGACAAATAATTCAACAAAACCTCATTGCTTCACAGCAGTTGAGTCGGCTAAATGGTGAATCCTTTTTCTTTGATCTATGTTTGTAGCCATATTTTTCATCAGAACAAGTAATGACTAAAATTATTTTTTCAATGACCATGTGGAAGAAGCAATAATACTTACAATGTCAGTATGGGTATCTTTATTGTTGCATCCAGGCTCACGAAGTGATACCAAACTGACTTTACAATATCAACTCTCTCCTTATTTTGGGTGGTATATTGAGCTTGTTGCAAGTCTTCCCTTGGAGGAGGTCCTTCTTCCAGAATCTCATCCGCAACTTGACTTGGAGACTGTGTGCGCAGCATGCTGAGCCATTTCTTGAATAATTTATTAATAGCAGGGGATCCTGCAATTCTTTCATTTGCTTCAGAAGTATAGGAAACTGGAATACTATGCACCTTCGAAGAGTCCATCATGGTCTCTCCACTTTCTTTTGGCACATAAGAAAGTTTAACAGATTTTTTTGAAACTTTGGATCCATTAGCTCTGCCTCCTGATTCATCATTTTGTGCACTGCCTTTAAAAGCTGAAACTCTCAAGAGCTTTACTTTGGGTCCATGTGAGAAAGCCCCTGCACTGTGGAAACAATGCAGCTCAATCTATATGCTTGAAATTCATTAGATATAAACAGAATACAAAATTAATTTCAAAGGACAAGTTTGTGCCAATCACATAGTCCATTGATAGAGAAGCATAAGAAAAATAAAATTCCAAATTATCATTAACCAAGAAATATTCTTGAATTGCACATCAATAAGTAATCAGCCAGAGCCAGGAAGTTTTGTACCATCCTTCTCAGAACAAAGTAAAACAAATAAAACTGACTGTAAAATCCAATATCAAGCAATTTGGATTTGCAAAGACAAGCAGCTGATCATGAATTCAATTATATAGGAAAATTTTACCTTAAACGAAGACTGTGTTTTACTGAAAAACACATATCTTTTCTCCCTACCATCTGAAGTTCTGTTACACGTTGCTTCAACTTCACCCCTTTGCTCCAAGATAAAGGCCTCGAAGGAAATGTTGCATAAGAACCCTATGTGCAGCAGACAAAGCAATATGATGTTGTAATTACAGTATATAAGAGTGCTAAACAATGGAGATTGCAAAACAATGTGAAAATATGATGTTACAAACTTGAACTAGCATAGTATGGGTGAGCGTATATATTTAGCTTTTTTCACATGCACCCAAACACTTTCAACAAGGCAAGTACAACTGCTGTGATACAAGCACAAGATACTATCAATTTCACGTCTCAAAAACATGGAAGGAAAACCAATTAAAACAGTAGAATAAATCATCTCAGCTACCTAGAGCATTTTAGCAGAGTAATTCATCCACTACATCATCAATTTAAGTATATCTTATATTAACACAGCTGTGTGTACCACACAAATGACTGATTGAACTTCCATAAACCCAACAGGGACATGTATCAACACTCTAACCCTCAAGTTTAAAAGAAAAATAAACGACAACTGATAAAGCTCCCTTAGAGCAGAATTGATAAAATGACATGATAATTTGATTGCTATCGATTAAGGCCTGGTTGACTTGAAACTAACAGGGGGGAGAAAACGGTAACACTCTTAGAGCACAAGGTCTGCACAGAATTATTTTATAAGTACCTGCATCTGATGGGTTACCAATGCCATTTTCTCCACTTCAAGCACCCACTCATTAACTCAACAGCGCCTTATTCAATACAAAGCAACAATGCCTTATTCAATTCAAAGCTAAAAAAATAACCAGAAAGATATCAGCAAAGCCGAAAAAAAGATAATTTTTTATTAGAGGCATCACTAGGATGAGGCATCAAAAACACTCATAATCCATTCAATTGCAAGAAACCGTAGGAAAAAGAAAGTACAAAAGTTTGCTTGTTTTTTCTTTTGCACTGAATCACCAATAGTTCTATCGTCATTAGCTTCAATAAACAAAAAGAACAAGTTGAATTATGCCTTCAAATTATCTGAATTAACCTCGCTTTATTATTTTAGCCAAAAACCCAAAAACTTCAAATTCCTCTCCTTTTTATACCTTCAAATTTCTGAGTAGCAACCAAACAGACAAATAAGCTAAACATTGCCACAGCATCTCTAACATTCACATAAAAACTAGGCAAATGCAGAAGGTTCAAGCTTTTCCCAGAAATTTTCATGGCAACCAAATAGCAAAGAACCCACAAAGCAAAAACCCTAACCAAAGCAAGGTAGAACAGATTGAAGCTAACAAGTAAAGAAAAAGATAGAAATTTGATAGTAACACGCTAACCTGCCCACATGAATTCATGAGGATAGCTCTACAGAAAGACAACCTTTATGTGATAATTTGATTGAAAAAGAGAAACCCTTCTGTTATCTGAATGAATTCCTATGGATGGATAGAGAGAAAGAGAGGTATCTCTTCCGTATCTCTTCCCTTGGTGAATTTTTATAAAGGGGGCTTCTTTTTCTATATATTATTAACAGACTAACAGTGGTCGTGGATAATCAATTTCGCACCGCACCATAAAAAAGTGAGTGAGGAGGTTTTTGGCTACGGTTCTTTATTTTCCTTTTCCCAATGGGAATATACAAGAACTGAAATAAAATAATATTAAGAGTGATAGAAAAACTACTGGATGGGCCTTTATAGAACGGGCCACTTAGGCCTGCTCAGTGTCCCCCGCCCGCATTTTCCCTTCGTTCTTTTGGATTTCTTTTCATATATTTTATTTATGGTACAGATTAAATAAATTAATTAATAATTTATGTTTTTGGAAAATAAATAAAATAATTATTGATAAATAAGTTTCAATAAAAATATTTTCAAAATTCATCATAATAGGAAAATCACTCTATTTATGAAAATAAATATATTAATAATTAAATTTGAAAATTACAAATTATTTGTTATTATTCATGACTTGGAAATAGTTGATTCTCAAGAAACTTATGAGATAAATAAACAATTCGATAAACATAAAGATATTTAATATTTTTATTTATAAAACTAATAGAATTACATTAAATACTATAAAATGAATTGTTTTTAGCATAAATTAATTATTTTATTTATAAAACTAACAAATAACTATTTCTATAATCAATAAAGAAATAAACTTTTTTTTTATTTACAAAATATTGGACGAGGATGTCATTCATTGTCTTGATATTATGATCACCAAATGCTTTTATATTATGATAGGAGGATACTAATAAATTGTTTTGTATTGTTATGATTTTTTTTTTTTTTATCATTGATAGAGAAAAAATTATGTAGTTAGGCAAATAGCTTCTACTTCTTATATTGGATATAATTTCGTTTTAAATTTTGATTTTTTATATGCTAAAATAATATATTATTTATTTATTTACATGTAAAAATCTATCTTACCATTATTTTAATTAAATAAATACATTTTTAAAAATTTATTTTTAAAAAACTGCAACTAAGATTTTTTTTTTTGAAAAATTACTTTTTTCTAATCCGCAATCACAAAAGCTAGAATAGTGTCGGACACAGTAGAAACCACGATGGAGAAATTGGCATGTCAAACAATTGGAATGCGAAATACAACCGTCGCTCCGAAGAATAAAGAGAATCAACTAGATAGTTACTCGTCCAATGCAATAAGCTCCCACTTGTCTAATTCAATCTCGTTTCTTACTAACTAGCTGTCTGGAATCAGACTAATTCCACATGTAATATATATATATATATCATGAACACATCATTCGGCCACTTGCAAGAACCAAATCACAAGAAAGAACCTATTAATTTGAGATCCTTAACCATCTCACATTTATATGTAGATTGAAAATATAAACAGTAGAATTTGAATTAGAAATATCATAGCAGAGACTAAACGGCACCATCTTAATAAAAACATGAATAAATCTAGGGGCACGTCACATGCTAAAGAATGGAAGATTGAGATAAAGTGGGAGAACCAGAAAAGCTCCTCTACTTCATTCTTTCTAGTGTTCATATGAAGGAGAATATTGATCACTAGATACACCGCTCAAAACATATCTAGGGTTCCACAGCAAACACACTGCGACAAAATAACACTGTTCTGATCAAATACATTTGAAAAATAAGAAAATAAATCAACCATATCCGAGTGCCTCCTGCCTGCCTGCCTCTCTATCTCTTCTTTTCTTTTTTGCGATGCCATTTTGTTTGCTCCAAGCCCTGCTCAATTACCATGCAATCAGTTGATGACGAGCCAAATATTATTTACAACTGAAAATGACTGCTACCTGACTAAAATACCTGAGTGCGAGAGATCATCTCAAAACTTTTATTGGAGGCATTGTTTTTTGACACACCAGAGCCCGTTCAAGAGTTTCACCCCTAATCATAATTGGCATCGCCTCGAGCACCACCAGGTTGCCGCCCATGCGAATTCCCCCCACCACGCCTTGAGTGACTCTGACCTCTCTCCCTGGACCTTGCAACTGAATTATGAGAACCATCTTTGGAAGATTCATCATTGTTAGCTTTGTTATTATATTGAGGCCCTACTGGCTGGTACTCATAATGTGAATTATGTCTCTGCCTTTCATGGTTATGGTACTCGTTATCTTTACCAGAACCACTCCACTCGCCACCACGAGAATCATGCTCTCTGCCAAAGCGGCTGTTTTGGTTTCCATTTTTTCGGAACCCTGAAGACACACGTTGTTGAAAATCCATATTCAAAGGAGATGGTTCAGCCAGATGTCCTTTATGTGATGCTATCTTCCTTTCCTTCTTACCCTCTTGATGCCCAGTGCTAGGATCTTCTTCCAAATTGCTCCTTGCAGACAGAGAGCCATCAGGATGGGACTGGGCCTCTGCAGCAATATCCTTGCCAGGTTGAGGCAGAACTGGCATACCATTTTGAGAAGTGGAATCCTTTTTATTACCCCTACCAACTTCAGAGCCTGTGTTCTGACCACCACTGGCCCTGCTTCCTGGATGATTAGTTGCTGAAATTGGCTGGGATTTGGGTTGCCAATGAGATGTTAGTCGTTCCCCAACAGCACAATTTTCTTTTGAAGTTGCAGCCAAGTCTGCTTGATGCATCTCTGAACCTAAAGTTTGGACATGAACCTTTTCAGCGTCCCCAGTATTAATTCTCTTCTCATCAGGATCATGGCTACATCCCGTGCCTTTATGTCCCCTGTATGATGGCCGCCTAGCTCTGGCTGTTGCACCATGATCTTTTATAGCAGGGACAGTGATGGGCACCTCAGATTTTTCAGGAATGTTCCAACCATCAGAGTCACTCCATTCATCAGAATGACCCAGTTGCTCTTTCGCTGAACTTACATCAGGTTTCTGGACTTGATGCTCAATTGATGTTTGAACATTTTTACTTGTAAAAGACAAAGTTGATTCAGATGAACCCCGTTGGCGCCATGATCCATACCTTTTTCCTGACTTATTTTGCCTGCCATCCCCATTCTTAGATTCTAAAATGGATACTACCTTTCCCATACCTGTGGCAGAGCTTTGAGAACTTTCATTGCCCAGAGAATGAGATTCAGGTCTTCCAACAGTCTCATCTGGTGTAATCTGATTGATTAATGGCACCGCTGAATGGGGACTACTTCCTTGCTGAGCCATTTCTTTGGCTACAGACTTCGGAATGTATCTTTCCATTTCTGCCCGTTTATTTCTTCTATTATTCTGCACTTGCTGATCACTCTTCATGGGTTCACTAATGGCATCAGCCAGAGTCTTCTGACTGGCTTCATCAGTAGCCTCAATTTTATTGTGCAACCGCACAGGAGCCCAGATAACACAATCACCACTTTGGAATTTCTCAGATGATTTATTAGCTTGTGGATTCCTCAGCATCCTGCGAGAATATTGAGATTTCCACTGATTATTTACTCTGCCTTGAACTTCTTCATTTGGTGATGATGTGCGTTGATCCAAAGACTGATTTCCATCTCTAGAATCAGTCTGGGAGCTTGGATCTGACACATATTCAGAAGCCTTGGACTTACTACTTTCAACTGAAATGTCTATAGCAGTTATTTCTTTTGATAGGGTTGCCGTTACAACTACTGCCATAGATGATGCCTCCTCCACTTTGTACTTGTTCTTTCCATTTTTGCTCTTTCTTCTACCATGATGTACTGAAGACTCGGTCATGGCAGTTGGGTTGATGGGCAAAGTCGATTCAGGGCTTGTGGTCATTTCATTTGCACCCTCGGTAGAAACAGGAGCATTGGCTGCTACATCAGTAGCATTTTTTGGTGCCTCAATTATAGAAGTCATTAACTTATCATTGCAAGTCTTTTCCAAGGGACCATTCTGCTTTTGTCTGTAGCTCACACGCTTCTGCTTGGAAGCTCTATTGTCACAAGTCTGTGGGGCATTATCAGGGTGATCACCATCAGCACGACTAACATCCTGTTGCAATGGCTCCAATTGGTCATGTATCACAACAGATTCCTTGTGGGTGGCCTTCAGCATCCCTGGCAGCACCTCGCTTAAACCCTCCGCTGCCTTAGTCCGCTTATTCAACTCTGCCAGTTTTGCAAGTGCCTTGGCCTTTTGATCTCTAGCACGTTCCTCCTCTTCCTTCTCACGTTGTTTAACCCGTTGAATGGCTAGCTCTTTCATCTTAGCACGCTGATTAAAAAAACAATAGCAAATAAAGATGCTGATAGATAAAAAAAAAAAAAGGAATTATAAAAACAACAAAAGGTGTGTGTGTGTGTGTGTGTGTTACTTGCACCTGGCTATCACTGGGATCAGGGTGAGGTAGCACAGATTCTCCATCATCCTTCCCTTGATGATATGACCCAGACTTTTCAGTTGCCTCTGTAGGACTATGGTCTTGCCTATGAACATTAGAATTTTCAAAATGAGAAGACGACAATACACTCGGCATGTCTGCAACATGGGATCTTCTCCGCCACCCTTCAGCCTCTTGGGTACTGAATCTCCCTTTACCATGATGATCAGGTCTCCCATGCATACCATGAGTTGATCTCCTGTGAAATTGTACATTAGTGATGTCCACCATTGGAATAACAGATTCATTGTCAATAAAAGCCTGCAGGAAAACACACACACACCTGGAGCTTGCTGTTCCGATAGCATCTGTTACCTCATGGCTCTTATCTGCAGCAGAAATGCGGTCTTCATGGGAAGCAGCGTCGCTAATGCCACAGACATGAGTTCTTTCAAGAGATGCATAACTATTACCAGCTTCATTTGCAGAGTGATTAGACCTGGCATTACCACCTTGTAATCTATTCTTATGCTCCTCCCTACCGGAAGCAAATTTAACTTCTTGCCTTCCATCAGAGGCCCTGGCCTTTGCATTTAAACCTTCTATTTTCCGGATTAGACTAGGATCCTTTGGGGCGGTTGAAACTTCTGGAAAACCAGATGCTGCATGTTCCAGTTTCTTAACTGAACTGTCATCAGCTGCCTTCCAATTTCCTATATGTTCAAGAGGTTTCACTTTAGCACCTCCTTGGTTGCCACTGGCCTCGGAAGAAAATTCTTCGCCAATTCTTCTTGTATTCCTCTCTTTATTGTTCTTCTCATCTGCACTCCAGCCCTTCTCCCATGATGACTTTCTTTGATGGTCTGCCTTCCCAGGATATGATGCATTGGTTGCCATCATGTCATCCCACTTCTGTTCGTCTTTTCCCTCTAAACCATCATGCTGCTTCAGAAGAACTTTGTATGGTCCACGAGTATCTTGTGGATGACCAGATTCCAGTTGTTCTGGAACCATTGTGTGACCACTAGGAGGACCATATCCACCTGGCCTTCCATGGGAATTTCCAGGATCAGGAGCATTTTGACCAGAAAATCTGTTATATGGAGCAGGACCCACTGCCATTCCCATAAACTGAATATCTCGATCACTGGAGTTGCAGTAGCCCATGTGAGAAGCATAATAGCCCTCGTAAGGAACTGGTCCAGGATAAAAACCTGGACGAAATGGCATGCCTGGACGCATAAACGCATCATGCATGTGGGGTCTGTACATGTCTCCATTTGTTGGATGGGGTCCTCTTGGTCCAGGTCCTGGTGGAGGACCTTGTTGTGGGTTGGCAAGAGCAGTAGGTGGAATCTGCGGACAGTAATAAGGAAATGGCTCCATGGGAAAGCCACCAGGTGCTATTGGCGGCGCAAAAGGTGGACCACCTGGAGGTCCTCTGTACCAAACACCACCTGGAGGATTATTTACAGGGGGGGCATGCCAAGAATCATAATTCTGTGGGCGAATATTAGAATTAGGATACAATTGGTGATCAGGGTGCCACTTCTCCATGCTAGGCCTCGACCCATCTTCACCACTCATGGGATTCTCTCTTCTCCAAGAATTTGCAGGTTCCATCTTTGCATTTGTGTTTATAGAAGCATCACCTGAAAATTTGAAGGGAAAAAAAAAAAAAACAGTATGACTATCTTTATTTAGCTTGGCAGTGGCAATTGTCACATTTAAGGAATGCACACAAACATGCAAGATTACATCATGAAAGACACGGCAGCATGCCTATAAGAAATAAGTGTCTGGCACCAAAAATGCAAACCTGCAGAATTTTCAGCACTCTCTTTCCCCGGAGCTACTCCACCCGATGATGAACCAGGACGACTGTAAGAATCATGGTCTGCAATTAAATAGTTCATAAAGAAATTAACATCATCATTTATGTATTTGACAGATCATGAAAGGGAGACATGTCATTAGAATAGACTACAGCATCAATATGAATAAATCTTATGTGTGAACATTATTTGAGAATAAGATTGGCCATCCAAATTTCTTCACTGATGCCAAAGATGAAGAAAAATTGCCAATTCAAGAAGTCTTCCCTCTGATCGTCACTAGAAAATAAAATTTACATGAGCTTTTTAAAATCAAAACAATTAGCATTACTTTGATAAATATAAGATCTTGGAATATCAGCGTGCCATTTAGATAAATATTGAATACAATTTGGTGATACCTACCAAGGAAATTGAGCTACATGTGATTAAAAGACTAAAACAATGACAGGAAGTTTTCTTGGCACTGTAAGAAGCACTGCAGGTCTAAAAGCAATAAACCAATCATAGAATGAGCACAAATTCTTATCATGATTCAATAGTATTAAAGGGCAATGCAACATAAGTATACCTTGGGACTCCGTGTTTTTTCCAGAGTGCTCTTTCTCTGAACCAAGAGTTGGAAAATCTCCAGAAGTCAAAGAAAACCCCTCATTCTTAGAGGATGTCCCTCCCTGCACGTATAGCAGTTATAACACTAAGAAAGGCAAGTCAAGTTAATAATAGAAAAGTGCAAAAGCAAATCCAAGAAACCCAAATAAAATTTAGTTTGGCCTTGGCTTGGGTTGTTGGGAACAGTCAAGCACATAGAATGTGCGTTACATGAACAATTCTGTGCCCACACATAGACCAAATGGCCCAACCCGATGTTTTTAATCAGTAAACCAAATCTAACCTCCTTGGACCATCTTTCTCCTTGTATCAACTACTATTCCTTCAAGATATCATAATAATAACCACAATTTATAATGTAAATGACTAAGACTTTCTTCGTCGAATAACATAAGAAAAGTTGTACACAAATATGACACAGCACACTCAATTATGAATCCAATTATGCTTTATTCCCCATCTTTTTAAAGTGTTTTCCCTTGAACCCTAAAATTACCATGTTGCAACACCTACCATTCTATAGTTTCTATAGAAATAACGTTTTACATCCTCCACAAAGAGTGTTCATTGACAAATTGGTTAAAGGATCTTATTATTACATAAATACAATCAATGAGTAAAAAAAAGGTTTTTTACAATAACAAGCAACCCTTTGCAGACATGTATGGGAAAAAAAACTGGTAATTACAGAGAGTAGATAAATGTATTGGCATTAGATCAATAACAATTTGAAAATGTATAGCTCTCCAATGAGTAGGGAAGCCATAACCTTGTTGTGTGGATAACTTTTAACTGATCAATATGGATTTCTACTGCGAAAACATGGGGATTTCTAGCTACAGCCATTACAATCTAGCATGTGGATGCCCATCTAAGAATTCTGAGTTCATTGATTGGAATTGTAATTTAAGAGATCACATGAGGAAGCTACAACATGCATTCATAACACAAGACGAAAGCACTCAACAAATGTATTAAAGAAGCCTGATAAGAGAGGTTTTAGGAAGTACAGCTACAAATTGTCATTCAAACCAACAATGAACTTCACATGCATTCAATTACAATACCTTTTAATGAATGTAATCCTCTATATGACTTAGAAGGTCCTATTATAATCAATTCCAGTGAGCTATTGCAGGGTTTACAAACAGAAAAACTCTACAATTTTCATTAATATCTCATGGCTACCATTCTAAATATTACTAGCAATATAATCAACTAATTTAAGAATCTGTTGCCTACTACACACCATTTAGCAGCAAGTTCCTCAGGCAATTCAGAAACCTATTGCCTGATTGATGCTATTTTCCCTTTCACTAATTGGTTTCAGGATTTGTTTGAAAGGTTGGGTTCGGTAGAAACTGCCCACTTGTACAAAGAACTGCAATACCAGCGAAAGTGCCAAAAATGAAATGCACAAACTTCACCAGCAAACATTACATAAACAAAAATATATTCCATATGTTGATGATAATTATCCAAGCAAATTCTTGATGACATGAGCAAAAAAATTTAATTTCAAAGTGATTAGTATGAGATGATATAAAAGGCGATCTTTAAGGAAACCATACCAACTTTTCTGCTGTTCCAGTTGCAACCCAAGCCACTGAATTATCAGATAAGGGCTCAGCGAAACGGGATAACTGCGAGCTACCAGGTCTTGTTTCTGCACTGCAAGGACGCAATGATGTAAATGATGTTTGACTTGATGTCAAAGCTCCTGATGCTGAAGATGGCCTAGAATTTGCACCCCATGCACTAGCAATGGGATCGTGGGTTCTATCACTGCTTGCAGTTGATGGTCGAGTGCCACTTCCACCAGATGAGGGGCGACCACTCTGATGGCTTGGTGAACCACTACCACCATCAGTATTTGGAGACAGCGTTGAAGAACCCCAGGCATTAGGAGTGGAAGAAGATGATCTAGTGCCCCAGCTATGGGTACCCCTGTGAAGTTTAGGAAGCAATTAAGGATCAAGTCAAGCTATATACATCCATTCATACTGAAGAAAAAAAGGCATTTCATAAGGAAAAACAAGAATAATGGCAGGAGAAGCGGAAAAGGGCATCAAAACACCAGAAGGTAGATAAATTACTCACTTGGGCACAATTTCAACATTCGGGTCCAGACCATGATTTTCTAACCTTGAAACATCAGAGAGGAAACATAAAAATTTATTGGAGGTAATCCAAGAGCCTCATCATACAGAACCACAATTTATTCAGCAGAAACCTAATACCTTTGGCTGGGTAGGTTTATTGGTTTGGGAACAGCAATCTTCCCCAAACTTGTCATGCCACCTCTTCTTGAAGGAGCATATCTGCAGACACTCATTTTTAGATAACAATTCATAAATTTGTTGGTTATACCCAATAATTTCAAGATCAAAACCATTCAGACATAGAGATTGGAAGCTGCCAATAGCACAAACGTAAGACATAAATAAAGATGCCCACGCTGCCAAATCAAACCACAACACTTTTAAATGTGAAAATGTCAAATGCAATATAAAAAATGCATGGATTCTATGATGTATGGTGTGCCTAACAATCTTGATAAAATGGTAATGCCCCTCTAAGCCAATATCGCACGAGTTTTAGAGGGGTAATATCAACACCATGAGAAAAAACTGTCTGTCCTCCCACTGGTCCATGCAAAACCAAACACATGCTTAAAGATCATAGTTTATTTTGAAGGACATGAAAACACATATAAACCACATACCTGCGATCTCCGGTCAACATACTTGATGTCATAATTCAGTAGTCTTAGCAAGGTCATCCAAAAGACTTTGACACAATCTAGGAAGAAAAGGAAACAGATAAACTACATCAAAATGACGCATCACCATAAAAACCGTCGTAAAAGTGTGGTAAGCATTTTATGTGCAGTGAATAATGATATACATGATTTTGTCTTCAATAAGAGGGGAAAAGGGGGTGCTACCAAAGCATGCACAAAAAAAGACTGAATCGATTCTGAAATCTAAATCCATAGAAAACAAATTTCTGGAATCTGAGTCCACACAAAACAAAACCCAATAAACACACACTCATTGCTCCCTCTTTGACATCCAAATTATAATTTTCATGTTAAAGTTTCTCTTTAACTTCTATCGATAGACCATTAGGATCTTCCTTGAATCACTGCTCTGTTACTGATTAATAGTGCCTAAATTTCCACTAAAGCCACTAAACACTTGTTCCCTCACTCATTCAAAATTTTATTCAAACAAAACCAAGAAAATGCACAAACAAAACAGCACAAATGTCTGGAATACTATTCCATATGAAAAAAAAAAAGATGACTAAAATTGAATCGATTGGGCATCAAAAACTAGTGGTTAACTACTAATCATAAATTTTGATTGCTATAGGACAAAAAGAACTCATGCAGACAACCTGGTGTAGTTTGGTGGGGAACAGAATTAGCAGAGTTGGGTGTTCTATAGAGGACAGTAACACATGCGACATTTCCTTGATAATGCATTACAGAAAAACTTGCTAAATCCCAATAGTTAACTACCATGCATAGCCTCTTTGCAACATTTCCAACTTGATCAATTAACGGAATTTAGATTTCTCAACATTCTAAACCCTAAAACCACGCCCTATCTTATATTCACTTTTGATATTCTGAACCCAAAATGCAAAAAGGTTCCTCTATTATCAGCAAGATATAATTCCAATCTACAGTTTCGCTTTAACTACAATCCATTGAAAATTTAAAAATAAGCCAAAAAATATACTATTAATTTATTTATTTATTAGAGCTAAGAGAAATTAGATGATCAAGTCACATGTTCTACAGAAAAATCTGGGAGACTCGCTCGAATAAACAACGAATCGGATCAATCGTAATTATAAAGCAAACAGAAACTAAAAAGCACACGGGCTAAGTACAATTTTTATTAAAAAGAATAAAAACCATTCTATTTTCCTTCCTTTTTCCGGCAATTTCTCGGCAAGCAAACAGACACGCATATTAATAACAAACAATAAAATAGAGAACTCCTTGCCTGAGATTTGATTCCTTTCGTTCTATTTTTGCTTGATTAGTTTTTTTTTGGAAACCCTAGCGGAGAGTAAAAAGTGGGGGGAGAGAGAAAGGAAAGAAATTTCTCTCAAGGGCTTCGTATGAGATCGGGAAGCGAAAAGAGATCCGTGCAGGGAGAAAGCAACGATTGAAAAGAGTGAGTGCTCGCTTTATTTATTTATGTTTTATATTTTTTATTTAGATCCGCGAGAGAGAAGAAAAGGAGAGACAACTAAAGAGGGGAAGAGGAAGACCAAGCGAGGAAGGTTTGTTGGTTGTGGCCCTGATATTTGACATCGGACCTCTCTCTCTCTCTCTAACTCGAAAAAATAAATAAATAAATACAACGGATTGGGATTATTTTGATGGTGAACAAACGAGTGTTAATGTTTGGTAATTACGGATAATGATGATAACCGAAGTTAGCTCGTTGGATAAAGAAAATTAATCCGGCTAAAAAACAATTTAAAAAAAACAATATATATATATATATAGAAAGAGTAAAGGTAAAACTACAAACCAAAAGAGTACACGTGTCGGGTATAAATTTCATGAGGAAATCAAATCGGATTGGTGTCTACACAACACGTATTCTAATTTGCATTCGTATATAGAGCATTACCGAGGCAAGTTCCACACGTACATTATCCAGTATGATATCTAATTTTAACACGAGAGACAAAATTTTGATTAACATTTTATTGATAATTATTATGCTGCTGGGCAGATTAAATTTTTAGTAAATATAAAAATAATATTTAAATATTATTAACATGTCTTTCAGTAAAAAAAATTTAAAGGATAATTATAAAAACCTTTATATAGTTTGATTTGAATTTTAATTTCCCTTTAGACTTTCATAAATTACGTTTTACATCATATAATTTATATGTTTAATAACAATTCACATCTTTAAAATATAATTTATGAAAATATAAAGGAAAAGTAAAACTCAAATCAAATAAACTATACAAAAAAATATAATTATCCCAAAATTAAATTATATAGAGGTTATACAAACTTTATATGATAAATAAATATTTTACAATCTAAATCCTAATAGAATTTATATTTTCTATTCGTGCATCTCTTCCTATCAATTATATGTGTTAAAACTTTAATTATACTTCAATCAAGTCATGTTTTGAATATGACTTGATCATCCATTAATAACTTGAATTTGTATTTTTTAGGTTGATGATCATAAATAAAATATAATATGAAAAGCATTTTTTTTCTCACAATATTTTTAAATAAATTACAATATCATTTTAATCTAAGTGATTTTAAGTGTCATAAAAAACATGAGCAAAGCCAATATTAAAAATATAAACTCTAAATTATATATGTAATAGTTAGTGAGATTTTCTCTCTTTTTTTATTTTTCGGGTTTAAACTTCTAGGCAAATATCTAGGGAAATTTATTCCCTTAAATACACCATGTTAATATAAAGATGGTATGAAAAAAATAGATTTAATTTTAGTTGATACATAAACTAGTCCAACAATATTTGGCTAACTGGTAAAATGACCTTTGAATTATTGGTTAAATTCAACTTAACCCTTAACCTTTTGATTTTCTAATTTGGTCCCTCGAACTATTAAGTCAAAATAACACAGTTTCTATGTTAGATGCTTAAAAAAAACCATATTATTGGCAAATAATATGCTTTCACATGTCTCTATTTATTATTTTCCAGGGAGGAAACCTAACAAAAGGGATGGATTGCTTTGGCTTGACAGTTTGATAGATTAAAATCAGAAAATCCAAAGATGAGGGGTTAAGTTAGATTTGACTAATAGTTCAGGGATCATTTTGCAATCAACCACCCTTCCCTTATCACTGAAAAAAAAGATATTTACAAATATAGGGACTGAAAAAAAAAGGTCATTAAATGGTAACGGTAAATAATTCAACGTAGTCCATTAAATTTGATAAATTCCGTATAAGGGCCTGTAAAGAATAATAAGGGTAGATTGGTTGACTTTCCTGAAAATAAAAGCCAAAAGGAAAATTCAAGGTAACAATCCAGAGTAGACTATGGTGATTGTCAAGCAAACTTAACGACCTTCATTTTCAGAGACAGGACATTGCAAAAAAAGAAGCCAGATTCTTTCAATTACAGTGTAAAAGAGGTAAAAAGTGATCTGATCTCATTTCTAGTTAAATCTGAACTTAATCTATTTCATAAAAATAATGTCAGATTGAATTTGCATGCTTCAAATCAATGTTACTGCGTAGTTATGATGCTATTAATGAAAATGAGAATGAGGGTTTGTTAGGGCTTGGAATATTGAGAATTCAGCTATGGAACCCAAATCACCTTCCAAACTTTAGCTCTCTATCATGGGTTCTTCTCATTATAAATTGATTTTGAAAATATGTGGAGTTTGTCTAGTGATTTTGTTGTTGTTGCTTGGTGTTTATTTTGCATCTAATAATGCCGGGAAAGCTGTAGTGAAGAGTGGTTTTTATCATTATACGGTTGTTGTGGATTGTGGAAGCACTGGGACGCGAGTTAATGTGTATAAATGGTGGAAACCAGCAAGTTTAAGTAATTGGGATTTGCCAATTTTAGTGCATTCGTATCCTGACAATTCAACTCAGAGTCTGTCTAGGGGAAGTTCTTGCAAGTATCATTGTGTGCAAACAGAGCCAGGTTTAGATAAGTTTGTTGGTAACTCCACGGGAGTGAGGCTGTCGTTAGAACCATTGATTCTATGGGCTGAACAGTGGGTGCCTCGTGAAAGACATGGAGACACTCCCATTTTTGTCTTGGCTACTGCTGGACTGAGGAGGGTGCTAATTGAGGATGCTAGGCGGGTTTTGGATGACGTGGAGGATGTTGTTAAGGAGCACTCATTTGTTTCTAAGAAAAGTTGGATAAGGGTCTTGAGTGGGAAGGAAGAAGCGTATTATGGTTGGGTGGCTTTGAACTATAAAATGGGGAGTCTAGGGAATTCCTCAATAGGGCCTACGTTAGGACTTCTTGATTTGGGAGGTTCATCGTTGCAAGTTGTAATGGAAGTACATGATGGTGGAAGAAATGATGCTAATTTGATAAGGTCAAAGATTGGATTGGTTGAACATTATATTTTAGCATTCTCATTATCATCATTTGGTTTGAATGAGGCATTTGATAGGACAGTTGCCATGCTTAGTCAGGTCCAGCCAGGTGGAGGAGGTAATAACGAAAGATATGAAGTTAGGCATCCTTGTCTTGGTTTTGGTTTTCAGCGAAATTATTCTTGCTATGTCTGTGATGGGATAAATGCCCCTTATCAAAGGAATTTGAGCATTCAAACGCATAAAAGTGAATTTACTAATACTCACCTGGTTGGAGACCCAGATTGGGAGATATGCAAAGGGATTGCAAGGGCTGCTGCTCTCAACTTAAGCATTTTGGATTGGTCACAGTCAACTGATCTCAATAATTGCAAAACTGGCCTGTCTTCATATGGTAAGTTCAAAACTTTATTTCAGTTCCCTCTATTCGTTGTTTAAAATAAGTTTTTGACACTTAAATGCTGGTGAATATGTTGCTGTGGTTCTCAATTTTAACGTGATGATGTCTCGAATCATTACTGCCTCTTTCAGTATTATATGCATGAATGAAAAATAATTACATCTTGGTGCTCTTCATTGTAATAGTCCTATATAGTTTTCTAAATTTGGTTTCTTCTGGTCAAGGATGTGGTGTTTATATTATTGAAATGGGGAAGCCTTGTTGTGTAGCACCCATGGCCCCTCAATTACATGGCAAAGAAAACGAACCAAGTGATGCTTGAAAACTTGAAGAAACTTTTTCCTGGATTAAAAAAAAAAGAAGGAATTCTCTGCACAATTTTGCTTGCATTAGAGCTGTTTATTCATCTAGAAAATATTTGGGTTTGAATTGTAACATGCACATGCACCTGCTAATATAGCATAACCCTTACATCTGATAAGAAAACATTTACAGTTTAGGCTTGCTATTTTGCATGTCTAGAAGAAGCATCAAAGAAGCATGATTAATGCATATTATGTATCGTGCTGACCACAATTTTACTTGACTGGATTTTGTCAATTGTTTCTTAGAAGGTCAAGTAAAACTTGCTCATTGAAGAAATTTTGTTCTTAAATTGGTCTTTTCCAACAAGAGGTTTTATGCAGTATGCTTCTTTAACAATGCTTGCCATCTCTGACTGAAGTAGACTTAGAGCTATACATGCAAAAACTGTCTCTGTAACTTCCATTTGTATTTTGCAGGGAGTGACACTCTGAATTTTATAGCTGGAACCTACCTTTCAAGACGATTTCATGCTTTATCTGGATTTTTTGCTGTTTACAACATGTTAGATCTGGCTCCAATAGCTAATTTGACTAAGATTTGGGAGAAGGGTCAGCAGATGTGTTCAAAATCATGGCCTGACTCGAGCAACGCTTCTGGAAACCAAAACAACATTGGCAAATATTGTTTCCGGGTGCCTTATATGGCATCACTAATTGAGGATGCTTTGTGTCTTGGTGATAAAGAAATAGTGTTTGGTCCTGGAGATCTATCTTGGACTTTAGGAGCTTCACTAGTTGAAGTGGAGAAACCATGGCCAAGCTCTACCGAAACAACCATTTTATCCCTGAAAAGTAAGGAGGTTCTATATTCCTCCATCCTTTTGTTTCTTCTACTTCTGTTTATTTCATTTATTGTTTACTATAATCAAATCAAGTTGCCTATGCCGGGCAAGAAGATTCCTGCTGTCAGACTATCTTTTCCATCTTATGTTCATCCTAAACTCCGTCCAAACTAATGTTTGGTTACAACAACATTAGGTAACAGAATTGTCAGTGGGATTTATGGTTCAAGAATGACTGCAGAATGCTAGCTTTCTAAGGCGAAGTGTGTGTTGAGTGGAAAATGACTGTGATGGGCAGCGATGCTATTAAGTATAGCAGCACGAAACAAAAATTGAAAGAAGCAGATCAGCCTACGAAACAAGATATTGTTAAATAGGAGAATATCAGCATGCAACAAGATATTTCAAACAATCGCTTGAAGTCCTAATCTGCTTTCTATGTTGCTTGCAGCCGTGTGAATGCCCTTCTGTGTTGTAGCATGCATATGGAAATGTCTCCTGTTTTCCTTTTAATTTGATTGCTTTTGTTACTTTCCTTGTCTGGAATTCTGTACTGCATTCTGAGCTCAAGCAAAAAAGTCTGTGAACGATTCTTTAAACTCAGGTGGAGAGGTTAGTGAATGGGTTTTGATGGGAAGTTTGTCTGTGTGTTTGTGTTGTGTGATCTTTAACCCTTTTTTCTTTGCTCTTTTTGGCGGTTG